GCTTTGGGCTCCTTTGCTCTTCTTCATAGGTGAGTTTTGAGTGTTTTCAACTACACCTTGGGACACTAATCTCACAAAGTTTATAAATGATCTGGAAACCTTTGTACTTACAGCTTAGTAGTGTTCTTGGCATATAGTAGGTGACACTAAATGTTTGTTGAGAGAATAAATGGCAAATTAAATGAGAATTTAATTTTCATATATAAAAGTGAAATACGTGAAGGGAACACAGTATTGTTGCTTCCTCTGTGAAGACCAAATCAGCCTTAAAATAAACAACCGGAGTTAAGATGGATGAAAGAAGTTGAGTAGGATGTTATACATGTTCTTTAGCTCCATAATAATAGTTCATGAGAGGAAATTATTACCTTGACTACTCCCAGATCACTTGAGTAGGAAGTAAAGATGATAGAGGAAAAAGACAAGTAAGAACCCTTCAACTAGGGAGACTACTTGAGGCAGTAACTGTAGAGCAAGTTGTCTGATCTTATTTCCACTTAGCTAGTGTACCTTTGATCCATGGAAGCAGGTAAATGATCCCTTAACTTTACTGGCCGGTACATTTGTATTAGGAAAAAAAGCGTATGTGAAATCAAAGTAAAAAGGAAGTTTTCAAATTTAAAATATTTGTAAGACCAGTTATCATGACCTAAATTCTTTATTATTTGCTCCAAAAGACAAGACAATGTTATTGATTGATTCCTGTCATCATATTTAACTATTCCACATTTTGGGGGGAAGGAGGAACATGAAACTATTTTTGAAGGAAGTCCTTTGAAAAGTGATGAGTAGGATAAGGAGGAGAGAGGGCTAATATTTCCTTAGCCATTAAAGTAAAGGGTGCAGACACTTTACATCATGTGTAATCTAATTTAATCGACAAGTCTTTGTAAGGTAGATACTACTATCCTGGTTTTATTGATGAGGAAACACATCCAGAGAGGTTAAGTAACTTGGAGTCAAGCCAGGACTCAAAGCCTTTATCCGTTCCACAACGTAATAATGCTTCTCCTATACAATGTAAAGAGTTAATACATTATGATTTATGGACAATTATATAATATTTTAATGTTGGTTTGAATTATGGAAACTATGTTTGAAAAAGTCAGTGTTTATACATATTTCTTTATAATATCCAGATTAACCTCTTGAGCAGGTGTCAGAAAGTAGGTTAACTATTAATTTTTATTGTGTAGGTAACTAAGAGAGGTTGATATGTTAGTTGTTGTTGATTTTAGTTGACCTGAGCCAACTCATTTACTTATTATTTAAGTTCCTTCACTGGCACCGGAGGATTGAGAAAAAAGTGGGGAGTGAGGGAGGGTGTGAGAAAGGAGAAAGAAACTCAAATTTATTGAGTGCCCATGTGCCAGATACTGTAGCTAGTGGTGGAAACAGGCTTTGGTTTAACTTTAAAGCTCCTGCTCTTTCTATTATGCACCAATGCCACTTTTTACTACAAGTCCTTAAATCAAATGTTAGTCTACTTCTGGCCAAGTAGTTACATATTACTTTTTCTCTCAATGCTACTGGCTTGCTTAACTTGGGCGTTTACTGGACAGTGGTAATAATTGTAAGAGTGGAGGTTACAAAACTGAAGAGCAGGAAATTTTTTAAGGGGAAAATAGTTGTTCCCTAAACCCAGACAACTTTAAGTTTGTCATTAGTTCCAGAGCCCAGGAAAATAGGAAAAAAGGATGAAGGAGTCATATAAATATATCACCACTAACAGAAAATGACCTCTAATGTGTTAATTATATGTTCTTCTTTAGAGGAAGATTAAGGTATATGAGGGACTCATTTAATGTCAGACATTATTATGCAAAACACTCAAGTGATCTGAAGAGTGAATTTTGTTTATGAAGTGACAGTTACCCTTTAATATCTTATGGGAAGGTTTGGAATATGGACACTGTATGTAAGTTGGTTAGGAATCAAGATAACTGGATTCTTTTCTTTACTGTTATTGACTAATGGCGTGACTTAAAAGATTTTTATAGATTTTTGCCTGACTAAGCATATGTCTTGCCTAAATCATTGTGGAAATAATTTTGAGATGAAACAATTATAGTATGTAAAGTTGCTTAAAATTCTTCACATTAATTAATTTATACCATTTATTATGAATATATTATTTGACAGTGGTTACATGGGACTACTATTGAATATTTAAGTTAGAGTGCCTTAAACTGGAAGTATGATATGGTAGAAAGAATTTAGACTTTAGAGCCAGATGGCCTTCTGTATGACTCTTGGCTCTGCTATTTTCTAGCTGTCTGACCACTATGAGTTTCAATTGCCTTATCTGTAAATTGGGAGCTGTATTGTTATCAATTCTTGCAAAAAAAAAAAAAAAGTCACCATAAACTTAGTGGCTTAAAACAACACACATTTATTATCTCACAGTTCTCTGATATAGGAAACTGGGCATGACGTGGCTATCTATATCCTGTGCTTTAGGGTCTTTAATGAAGCTGCAGTCAAGATGTTGGCATGGGCTTAGGTCACCAAAGAATGCTCGACTGGGGAGGGATCTGCTTCTAAACATATTAATGGGCAGGGTTTGGTTTCTCACAGGCCATTACATTGAGGTCCTTAGTTCCTTGCTAGTGGTTATCTGAAGGCTGCTCTCAGTTGCTTGCCATGTGAGCCCTTCCATATGACAGCTTGCTTCATCAGAACCAAAAGGGAGAGAGTCTACTAGTAAGATAGAAGTCAGAATTTTTTATAATCTAATCATTGAAGTGACATTTTCTCAATATTTCATTGGTAACGTTTCTCAAGTTACCCAAGGGAAGGGAATAACGCAGAGGTGTAGATATCAGGAGGCAGGCTCATTGGGGCCATCTTAAAGGCTGCCAGACATAGGGGCAATAATATCTACTTTATAAGATTGTTGTGAATACTAAAGAAGTAATATATTTAAGGTTCTCTTCATTTTTGGTCTGACCTTAAACTAACTTTCTAGATATTGCCTGTTAGTCTTCTCCATAGGAACCAAACTTACTATTATTACTAAAATGATTTTTCATTTTTTTCTTGCTATCTAGACTTTGTAGAATCTATTTCTTTAATTTGCAATGATTGCCCCCATCAATTTGAACTGTGAAATTGTGTTCATCTTCCAGAGCCTATCTCAAATGCTACTTTTTAAATAAGCTTTTCTTGACCCATCCTCTGATTCAGAAGTCATTTCCCTCAGCTGATCTCCTCAATGCCTAAATTTATTACGGCAAATGTCAGTCTGCCTTGAATTTTTTTCTTTGTTGCTTAGATTATGAACTCCCAAAGGGCAAGGATTGTGTTAATCTTTTCTGTATCCTCATGTTGTTATAACAGCATTTTAAGAGCATAGTAAAGCATATTTGTTGATGAATTAATTTTTGGATGGAAGAAGTTTTAAATGGTTGTGGTTGCTTTATATGTTGTAATAACCAATATTTCTAACACCATAGGGAATGAAGTATTCCACACAAATTGATTTTCCAATTACCTACAAATATCTTTTTATATGCCTAAAGTGATTTTCTTTTAATCACTGTTCATTCATTTACTCATTTTTTTAACCAACGCATATGTAAACATTTATTATATAATCCCAATATTATATATTGGGGATGCAGTATGAAAATCTTTCTAGTACTTTTTGTGTACTTCTCTATATTAGTAGTAAGTTATCTTATTAAAAACAATTTAATCTTTAATTCCTGACTCAGGCAGTATTTTGAATATCAGATATTGAGCTATAACACAATAGGAACTGTCAAGCTATTTAAGGACCACTTGCCTGTACCCCAAACTGTATTACTTTAGGGTTCGACAGCTGATTTTTAGTTTGTCTTTCTTTTTTTCAGTTTTTTGCTGTTAGTGATGTAGTTTCTTAGTTCCTTTGCTCTTTTCTTCTTCTAAAATACTATGTGCTGGGAAATCAGGTAGTCACATATGTTAGCATTCTGTATGAAAAGTAAATTCATGGACTGTGAGTGAGGTTGTGAGTCAAAAAGAAAGTACATGAGATAGGACAGGAAATCTGTTGTGATACCTGAAATGAATTTTTGAAAATTCTTTTCTTTTCAGAAAATGAATTTCTTTTCTTATCAGTACATTCTAGATAGTTGAAGTTTTCTCATATGTGTTGCTTTTTAAGTCATATAAGACTTACAGATGAAATCAAGGGTTTCAGTAAATATGGTTTAAAGTTTTAGAAGTTTAGTTTGTGCTAGTGTCTGAGTGTTCACAGACAGCTGCTAAATGTCATTGTATATTTGTAGATATACTCTAAAAAAAAATGATAAGTGCCTCATAAAGCAACAGATCAGTCTTGAATATGAGTGTTCTAAAAAGCATGTTAGGGAATAGGATCATACTCTGTTTATCCCTTACATAAAATGAATTTTGATTGTGAAGTCATTCTACCTTTTATTTTATCGAAAGGTTAGTCACTGTACCCACACATTGTTTTCTTCAAAGTTTAAAAAAAATAATTTTTATGATTCCACTTCAGATTCTTTCTTTGATTATTAAGTAGCTTTGGCATTAACCTGCTTACCATTTAGGTTTCTGATTGTTTAGTCTTGTGAATGTTTATTTAGACTATAAAGAACAACAACAGTCTAATTTAACTATATTAAATCATTTTGTAGTCTTTGTCTTTTGGCAAGCATTCAGCAATATAGTTCTGTCCCTACAGGATATTTTTCATTTAACATAAATTTTTTTTTGTTTTTCTAGGTTAAAAAATGGCCATACTTTAGTAACTAATCAGCCAAATGCTTTGCTTATGAAAATTTTACCATCATTCTTTTTTCCCTATTGGATTGAAAAAAATGAATCCAGATATAGAAGAAAGTATGGGATGTTGGAAAAAAGTACCTGTTAAACAGTGGAACATCTAATAATTAATTTGCAAGAAATTTTAAAGAAATAAAATTGTTATGCTTCGATTTTGGTATGGTATTGACTCTCTAGCACATAGGTAGCCCTCCAAAAAAATCATCCAGTTTTCTAAATTATGGAAATTTTGTGGAAGACGTTGACCTGGATTTTGAGCCTCATCATGGCTTCATCGGAATTTCATAGTGACCACAGGCTTTCATACAGTTCTCAAGGTAGGAATCCTGCTTTTGAAAGTGACAAAAAACTATTGCTATTAATTTGACGAGAAAAGATTCTGAATATTTAGTTTGGGTGAACATTTTCTTTGGGATATGTAGTGATAGGAGTGGAGGCCAACTGCGTCAATTCAGTGCTAGTTTCATAAATCTTGAGGGCTCTAAGTAGTCTAACTTGTTATACTAGTATTTAATATCTAGTGTATTTTAGAGTTGACTGGTCTTTCTTAGAAGATGATAGACCCGGACCTCTTCTTCTTTTGAATCCTGAGCTTTAATAAGCTCATTTGTTGCTAAGGGTTACAGGTAAGGTCATGTTCAAAAGGAATCCAAGGGTTTATGTTATAAAAGAGCAAGAAACTGGTACATATTCTGATACGAGATCCCTCTAATATGGACCCTTAGTGAAAAAATACTTTCCAAACTTAAGAATTCTGATATAAGAACTAGAATCTGAGTAAAAGAGTAAGAGTGTTAAGAAGTTCAACTTCTCAAACTCTAATCCATGGGTCCCTAATTTGAATCCATAGAATTGAACTTTATTTATTTATTTTTTAAGATTTTATTTATTTATTTGAAAGACAGAGAGACAGAGATAGCAACAGAGAGCAGGAGCTGGGAGGAGAGGGAGAAGCAGGTTCCCCACTGAGCAGGAAGCCCGATGGGGGGCTCTGTCCCAGGACTCTGGGATCATGACCTGAGCCAAAGGCAGAAGCTTAACCGACTGAGCCACCATAGAATTGAAACCAGGCGCGCTATAGAATTGAACTTTATATCATAGAAAATATCTTAACAGAGATCCCTGGAGTGAATGACATTTTGTTTTCCATGGACATGTCCAATCCTTATAGATTTATTAAAATACCTTTTTGATTGCCCTCCCATGAATGTACAGTAACCAGTAATACTTTGGTGCAGATGAGCCAGATTTTCAAGGCTTTTATACATTGATGTATATGTCTAGAAGTCTATATGTATAAAATGTGGCTCTCAAAGTTTATTAATAAAGCTGTAGCATTTAGTATGAACTCTTATTTATAAGAAGTGAAATAAATACTGTCTTTTAATTTATTTATATTTGGTCATACTCTCATGGGAATTTATATTTGTGGGAGAACTCCATGTATAGACAGTGAGGCAATGGACAGACATTTGGTTTCCCTTAGTGGTAAACCTCACTAAAGGAAGATGTGGTTAAGAAGGTAGATTGGAAATATTAAGTATACCCAAATGAGGAAAATATGTGTAATAATCCTCTAAATTTTTTGTCAATCTAATGTTTTTTAACAGCTTTATTGAGATACAATAAACATACGATATAATTTACCTATTTAAAGTGCACAATTCAGTGGTTTATAGTATATTTGCAGAGTTATGCAAACATCACCACAATCAATTTTAGAACATTTCAACACCCCAAAAGAAACCCTGTGCCCATTAACAGTCACTCCCAAATTCTCTCCAAACCACTCTCCACCCCAGCCCTAAACAGCCTTAATCCACTTCTGTCTTGAGATTTTCCTATTCTGAATATTTCCTACAAAAGAATCATATAATATGTGGTCTTTTGTGATTGATTCCTTTCACTTAGCATAATGTTTTTAAAACGTTAGATAATGAACTTTAATAATGAAGGCAGTTATTATGAAGTTTCATTCATGTCATACACATATCAGTTCTGTGTAGAATAATATTCCATGAGTGAATAGACCACATTTTATTTATTCATTCATCATTTGATGAACATTCAGATTATTTCTCCATTTTGGCCATTATGAATAATGCTGCTGTGAACAGTCATGTACAACTTTTTGTGTGGATATGTGTTTTCATTTCTCTCAGGTAAATATCCAGGAGTGGAGCTGCTGGGTCGGGTGGTGGGTCCATGTTCAACCTTTTGAGGAGCTGCCAGACTGTTTTCCCAAGTGGCTTCTGTATTTTCCATTCCAACTGATGATTTAAAAAATATTTCTACAAGGCTGTAGAAATTCGATATTAACTCCTTTGGAAAACTTTAACAAACATATTTTACCGGAGCTAAATTCTATTATTTTAAATATGTGTACTTTTCACTGTTTTTTTAATTTCACTATAAGATATTCATATTTCCTATAAGAATTTAGCTTTTAGAATCCAGTAAGAAATAAATATAAAAAAGAAAAATAGTCTTCCAAACTAATTTTAAAATAATGCTATTTTGAGAAATAATTGGAACATAATTCATCATTAGATTTTAAGCTTCATTTTGTTTAATATAACAGTTTTTGTTCATACCTCACATATAATGATGCTGATACAGTTTTTGTTGTTTATACTGCTACTTCTTTGTTCTGTTAAATTTTCTTTTCTTCCATGTGTTTTTTCTGGATTCTCTGCCTTGTGATTACAAAGAGGAATTCCTGACTTATCTAGAACACTACCAGCTAACTATTCCAATAAGGGTTGATCAGAATGGAGCTTTTCTCAGCTTTACTGTGAAAAATGATAAACACTCCAGGAGAAGACGGAGTATGGACCCTATCGATCCACAGCAGACAGTATCTAAGTTATTTTTTAAACTTTCAGCCTATGGCAAGCACTTTCACCTAAACTTGACTCTCAACACAGATTTCGTGTCCAAACATTTTACAGTAGAATATTGGGGGAAAGATGGACCCCAGTGGAAACATGATTTTTTAGACAACTGTCATTACACAGGATATTTGCAAGATCAACGTAGTACAACTAAAGTGGCTTTAAGCAACTGTATTGGGTTGGTAAGTAGATGTTATAATTTTTAGTTTCTGATGGGGAAATAAATTCACAATGTAAATGTCTTTCCTCACATTAATAATAGGTCACCCATCTATTCTTTATCCTTTATTAAGACTTTCTGTCTCTTGCTCTTTCCCTCTGTTTGTTAACACCTTTTTGTTTTACTTTGCTTTCTATTGAAACTGCATGGCCCATGTTGACTACTTTTGGTTTTTTAAGATATGATGTGCCAGGTTTGCCCACTGAAGTTACTGTTTTCTCTTTGGCAACTAATAAGGAATTTGTGAACAGATACTTTGAGACTATGTAAATACTCTGTTCCTCATCACACTTTTGCCCACCAGACTTAGTAACTCCTGCCTTTATTCTTATTTTGTTTTATGTTTCATTTTTAATCAAATGTAATATGTAAACATGTTTTTTTAAAAATCCCACTTTTCAAAGTGCCCCCCCCCACTTTTTTAAGTAGGCTCCACACCCAGTGTGGGGCTTGAACTAATGACCCTGAGATCAAGAGTCATATGCTCTACTGACTGGGCCAGCCGGGTACCCCTCAAAGGCCCTTTTAACCAATTCTATTTATAATTGTTCTATATAAAATAATTTCAATGTAGAGATAATTAGCGTTTTCTCATCATAATTCCTCACCCATTGTTTCAGTATTACAAGCCTTGCCCCGTTCAAAGGAAAAGACTTCCTAATATTAATTACTGTTTGTCAGTTGTTCAAAATAATGTCACATTTTAGTTTGCGTTATATTTGAACCATGGCTTTCTTGTCCAGGTTTTGTATTTCTGGAGTTTCTAATTACTGTTATTTTTGTCTTATTGTGAAAAAAATGATTTTTTTTTTTACCAAATGTTCAGTATTATTCATTTCCTTAGTCTTTATATCTGTTGCTTGGAATATATTCCATTCTTCTTTGGAGGCATTTTTTTTTTCTTCCAATCTATTGGTTAATTTCTTGAGCTATTGTACATCTCTCATCTTGGGATTCTTTTTTCCTAGTTAGTTCTACATCCTCCTCTTTCTGAGTTTACATCCTTGTTTTATTGGAGAATATCTCCAAGTAATTATGTCAGAAAATGTGTCTGAGAAGTAGAATTTCTGAGTCCTTACCTATTTAAAAGTTACTTTATGTTACCCTCATATTTGGTTACTAATTTAGCTGAATGTGGAATTCTGGTTTCAAAAATCATTTTCCTTCAGAACCATAGATGGTGGAATTGGGAAAGGGAAATATGGGGCATCAAATTTATGAGTATGGTTTTATGTCTTAGGGAAAAATTTAAAGATCTTTTAAAAAATTAGCATTGATTCATTTTGGGGGGGCAGATAGAAGTCTACTTCTTGTTCTTTTCTTTTTTTTCCTAAGATTTTTCCTCAATGAAAGTGATATGATCTTCTCTTTATCCTTCCTATTTTAAGAATTTTATAATAATGTGTTAAGCTGTGGATCTTCTTTCCTTATCCTTATTTGATATTTAATGGATGCTTTCAATGTAAAGACACACCTTCAGCTTAGAGAAATTAAAAAAAATATATTTCCTTAATAATTTTCTCTTCCTGTTCCCCACCCCCTGCCTTTTTGTAATTGGTTCTTTACTTCCCTTGTCTTTCTCTTTTTCCTTCTTTTTCTTTTTTGTTCTAAGTTATATGAGATTTCTCCAACTTTGCTTTCTTTTCCTTCAATTGATTTAAAAATTACAAGCAGTCATACTCCTGATTTTCAAGAGATTTTCCTTTTTGATTGTTCATTTCTTTATATTTTGTTCTTATTTCTTAGTTATATCCATAGTTCCCTTTCTATATTTTCCCTTGTTCACTCATCCATTCACCAAATACTTATAAGTACCTATATATAATAGGCACTGATCTAGGTGCTAGGAGTACAACAGTGAACAAAATAGAAATTCCTGTCATCACAAAGCTTACATTCTCGTGGAGGAGATACACAATCAGATAAATAAAAATCACAGTATGTTGGATAATGATAAGTTCTAAGGTGGAAAAAATATTGAATAAAGACCTAAGGAAAATGAGGAAGGGAAGCTGACATCTGAAGAAGAGGATTTCCAGGTGGAAATCTTAAAGTATGAAGATGTGATCTAAGAGTGTTTGGGGGACAGCAAGAAGATTGCCCTGGCTGGAACTCAGTGAAAGAAAGGAAGTGTAATGGAAGGTGAGGTTAGAAAGAGAACTGGGGGCCAGATGGTAGATTTTTAGAGGACACTGGAGTAAATCAGTGATGACTCCAAGCTTGAGGCCTGGGCAACTAGAAGAAAGCAGCCATGAGTTGAGATCAGAAAGACTCAGGCATTAACTGAGATGGAAAACCTGGAGGAGGACCATACTGTGGGGAGGTGTATATCTTAAGTTCAGTTGGACATGTTAAACTCACAGAATTTCTTTGGACATGTTAAACTCACAGAATACTATGTTGTGTAAGATATTGTGTAAACTCACAATAAACTATGTTGTGTAAGATATTGGATATGCAAGTCTGAAATTCAGGAGAGAGAGATGAATCATGGAGTTATAAATTTGGGAATCATCAATATAGAGATGACATTTAAAGCCAGGAGATTATATGAAATTGCTTGGGGGAGGGGGGAAATATAGAGAGAATAAAGAAGAGGTTTAAAAAAAAAAAACGTTTAAGGAACTGAGCCTTTGGGCACTCCAGGATGTTAGGGAGGTCAGTAAGATGTTGAAGAGACAGCAAAGAACAGTGGGGTAAGGAAACTGAAGGAAAACCAGACAAATATCCTAGAAGCTAAGAGGAGGAAGAATTTATTTCAAGAGAAAAATGCTGCTGAGTCAAAATAAGAGGACTGAAAACTGACCATTGGATTTATCAATGAGGAGGTTGTTGGTGACCTTGACAAAAGCAGTGGTAAAGTTATGGCGGCATATGGAAAGTAGGCAAAAACCTGATTGGAGTAGGTTTGAAAAGGAATGGGAGAAAAAAGTACATAGATATTTTAAAGTCTTTGAAAAAGTAAATGATCAGTTGCTAAAGGCAGAGTGGAATCAGAGGAGGTTTTGTTTTGTTTGATAAAGATGGGAGTGATTATGTAGAGAGAAGGAAAATTTCTCAAGTTCATCTATAATAAGAGGAAATAAAAAAGATTATATGATCATGAGGTGCAGGTAGGTATTTGTGTTGTAGGAGTTTGCAGGAGGTTGTACGATGTTTATCGGAATGGAAGATGGCAAGATGAGTTATTAGGGGATTAAGAGGAGACGAGAAAGAATGGAATATTTATCCAGGAGAACAGGATACTGAATATATTAGAGAAACATAATTGCCGTGAAGCATTAAGGGCATTGTTGAGATTATGATTATGAATTTAAAGTGAGACTAGTCAGCATCTCAATGTATTTTTCTCTGGCTAAATGAAGCTGCAAGGTTGCAGGCCCAGAGGAGCAAAACTGGTTTGATCAGAGTTGTGGGTTAGCCAAAGAAATTCTGTGAAGGGAGGAAAGGGCAAGGGAATTGAAGGTGGAACTGAAGTTGGATTAGGAGGGAAGTGAGGACATGAAGTAGGTGGAGGATAATGAAAAAGTGGTAGAATCATGAGGTCTTGGTGGGTATAAAAGGACTATCTCATAGAGGTGGGATACTAAAGGGATAGTCCTAGAAAGATAGAAGAATGGAATACTTGAAATTGAGATTTTGGCAGGGTTGCAAGTATTGAAAATACTGAACTCCAGGGTTTGACTATGGGTATGAGTCTAAGATAAAGTGAATGACAAGGTATTTGATGGAGAGCAGGTCAAGGTATTGAGAGGGCAGGGGTTCAAGGAACCATATATGCCAGTAGTCCTTAACCTGGGGTCCATGAATGGAATTTGGGGGGTTTGTGAACTGGAACGGGGATAAATGACATCTTTATCTTTACTAATTCTTAACTGAAATTTAACATTTCCTTCAATTATGAATATAGATAACAAACCAATAAAGCAATAGCTGACCCCAATAGAAATTATAGATATTTTCATGTCATGTTACAGTTTTGCAGGTTCTTCAAAATACTATTTATGTTAATCACCATTGTGAAACTGTGATAGTTTTTAGATCCACTGCAGATCTTTTTATTTAAAGTATTAGAAAAAGCCATATGTGTTCTTATATTACATTTTTAAAAATACTTTGATAATGGTATTTCACTACAATGGTTTTCTTTATAATCCTATATATTTTTTCTATACTTAAAATATTATCCTGAGAAGTAGTTCCTAGGCTTCTTCCCCACTAGATTTCTAAAGGGATCCAGGGCACACACACATAAATTTTAAGAACCTGTGACTTAAGATAGTGAAATCAACAATTATTTCAGGAGTGGTATTGCAGAGAGTGACAGTGATCCAGAAGCTAAAATCTTGAAAGAATGAGGAAAGTGCTTGTGGGTCATTAGGTAGCTACAATAGCAGAGGGAACCTGGTGATGGCATGAGATTAGAAGCTGGCAGGGCCTTTTGTGTTTTGTTTTTGTTTTAGAGGAGGAAGAGAGTGAGAATTGTTTAGAAACGGCAGTAAATCACAAGGATACTTACCCTACCTCCTGGTCCAACAGGAGGCATATAGGAGAGGAAGCAGAGGATCCACCACCCCAGAGGACTGTAGGGAAGAAAGAGTGTCATTTAGAGAGACCCAGGTGTTTGAGCAAGATGAAGTGAACGTTCACAAATGAAGCTGAGCATGAGTTTGAGAAGGCACAATGGAAGTGTTTTAAATGGTGAAAGGGGAGAGGTAGGAGATGGGGTCAGAAAACATGATGCACATAACCAGAGGAGGGATAGAATCCAGGGGATAGGTCTTGGGCTTCTTGTGGGGACTGGCATGTCAGGGAAAGGGGGCATGATGATTTTCATCCTGATGGCCTGAGGCAGACCGTGTAGAGGTGAGTGGGGATGGTGAAGGACGTGAGAGAGAGCAGGGCTCTTGCTAGGCATGTGCAGATTTCAGGTCCTCCATCATCTAGCGTCCAGCACCTTTCTAATTTCATAATCATTTTCCCCTTTCTTCCCTCGAGCTCCAGTAGCTCCTTGCTGTTTCTCAGATACTGTATGCGTGCTCATACCTCATTGCCTTTGTTGTTATTCCCACTGTCTAATCTGCTCTTTCACAAGATATCTGTTTTACCTGCTCCTTCACTTTGTTCAGGTTTCTGTACAAATGTCACTTTATTAGAGAGGATGTCCCTGACCATCCTAAACAGTTTATGTAATTCTCTCATTTCTGATTGCTCTCTGTCCTCTTACCTTGCTTTTTTTTTTCTTAACACTTAACACTACCTGATTGATCATTTATCTAATGAATGAATCCCTTTTATCTAGGTCCTCCCACCAGAATGTAAGCTCCATCATAGAGCCAGAAGTTTGTTTTGTTCACTACTGTATCTCCACCACCTAGAATAGTACTTGCCATGTGACAGGCACTCAGAACATCCTTAGTGAAAGAATAAGTAAAGTCAGAAACAAACCTCAGAGGATAAGGGAATTATAATATAGTGCCTAATAATCTAAGCTCCAAAGTCAATTGAAGAGTTGGATACTTAACTTTGCTTAGTCTGTGTTTCTCATCTTCAAAGTGGAGCTGATAGTACTACTTACTTCACAGAGCTATTAAGAATAAATGAGATAGGGCGCCTGGGTGGCTCAGTTGGTTAAGCGACTGCCTTCGGCTCAGGTCATGATCCTGGAGTCCTGGGATCGAGTCCCGCATCGGGCTCCCTGCTCGGCAGGGAGTCTGCTTCTCCCTCTGACCCTCCTCCCTCTCATGCTCTCTGTCTCTCATTCTCTCTCTCTCAAATAAATAAATAAAATCTTTAAAAAAAAAAAAAAGAATAAATGAGATAATGTGTATAAACATCCCACAGAGTACCTAACACTTAAAATCTCTGGAATTTTTCCCAAGTCTTTCCATACTTGAAATTAGAGATTTTGTTTACTTACCACACTACTGACTCTATTTTCCCCCAGCAACCTGAACTTCTTATCTGGGACCTTTCAACATCCTTCTGCCCACAGGTTAGCAAGGTATGACTTTAGTGCTCTACCCTTTCTGGGCAGTACTCTCGACCCCACTTCTTACAGTTCTCTCTTACCAAAACTTCTTATACATGCTCTCTTTTCTGTAGGACCATGCTCAGTTTGCTATCACATTGTTCATCTTCCTGATAGAGAAATTCATGCTCAGGTATTAGAGTGTGTTAATGGCATATTATGTTATTCCTGTCAGTATTTGCATTTAATTTAGGGACTCATATCCTTAAAGTAAAGCAAACAATGGTGAAAATAATGTGAAGTGACTAAGGCCTGCTTTTTTGTTTTTTGCATTCTTTAGATCATTTGGTGTAGGTGCCTGCTAACTTCATCTATAAATTAGAGCAACTCTAATTGTGTATTATCTTTCTTTCCAAACGTGTGGTACTTAACATGAATTTCCCCAGACAGAAGCGTAGAGATTTAGATTCAAAGGGACCTTAGAGATTATCTGGACCAGAGATTTTCAGCTTTTTTCTTTTTAAAGCAGCAAGACCCTTTTCTCAAATGAAATGGTATATGGAAACGTACTATATAGATTAATAAAAGCACAGCTGATTGCTAAGCCCAGGAATCTAAGCCCTATAGGTCTCCCTTTGTTGTCTGGGGCAATCCCCTGAGGGCACTTCCCTGGAACCCTTAGGGCTCCCCAGAGTGCTGTTTTAAAACCACTAATTTACACCAACCCTTTCATTTTTCCAGCTGAGGAAATACACCAAGAGAGTTTGTGTTTCACCCAGTGTTACAGGATAAATTAGTTGGATTAAGAGCAGTCCTCACATGTACCATACTTAAGAAAACACTAATAGACCAGTATGGATGTTCTTATTTCTAATACAGATAACTTTTACTATCTCATTTCTTTTAATCAACCAACTTTTATTTGGTCTTCATATTACATATGAGACACTTTCTATGGTTATCACTGATACAAATATTTAGAGACATAACCTTTTGCCTTAAAAAAGCAAACAGTATAGTTGGGAAGATAAAATATGCAGTTGAAAAGTTATACCAAATGTAAATATAGCTTCCAGACTTGAGATGTAGCAGAGAAGTGTGACATTAATTAAAAATAAATTAACATAACATAATAGAATTAAAAAAAAATGATACCAATAATAAGCTCTGTCGGAGCTCCGAGGAGGGTGAAGCTACTCCATTTGGGCTAGGGAAAGGTTTAAAAAGGAACTATGGTTGAGCTGAGTAACACTTGGCTATGTAAATAGGTGTAAGGAATATATCATATGAATAAGAGCAGAGCTTTGTGTGAAATACAGCTCCTTCATTTATCTCTATATAATGTTGGGGAAGTTCTTAACCTCTGAGTCTGTTACTGCATCTGCAAAATGGAGATATATAGGATATATATCAATTAAGGACATATTAATTGGTGTGACATAAACTTTAAAATGTCCATTGTTTATCACAATAGAAATTTATTTCTCCTTCATATCCGTGTCTATGCTGGACAGCTTTCCATGAAGTCAGTCAGGGACCCAGATTGCTTCTCTTTCAGCTTCTGCCTCCCCGAGATAGTTTTTCAGAGAGAATAGAGAATTTTCCTTGGGAAGGTTTTCAGGGGATGAGCTTGAAAGTGGCATATAGTATTCTGCTCATTTTCTATTGGCCAAAACTTAATTACAGAGCTGTCCCTATACACAGAGGATGTAGTTAAGCTGTGTGCACAATTTGAAAAGGAAAAAGGTCTTAGTGAACACATGGAGGTCTCTGCTACCTCACAGAGTTTTGGGGAAGATTGGAGGAAATAATGTATGTGACATGCTTAATACAAGGCATGCATGGCATGTAGAAGATTTTAAACATCCTTTTTAAGGTATAGGTAAATTTATATAATGTTTTGCTGGGTATAGATAATCCACTAAATTTCTATTAACATGTGTTTTCACTTCTTTTTGGAGAGGTATCAACTTATTTTTGACTCGTGGTAATGATAATTGATATTTAAAATGATTCTTCTTGCTAAATTCTTTGTTTCTTCTTCTTTTAGCATGGCGTTATTGCTACAGAAGATGAGGAATATTTTATTGAACCATTAAAGAATACCACAGAGGATTCCAAACATTTTAGTTATGAAAATGGCCATCCTCATGTTATTTACAAAAAGTCAACCCTCCAGCAACGGCATCTGTATGATCACTCTCATTGTGGGGTTTCAGGTGAGTGTGTGGCTTTTACAAAGTGTATTGTATTGTATTGCCACTGTCTTTCTTCTGACACCTATGGAAAGGTGAATGATAGAATGATAATGAATTTCCATGAATTAACATGAATTTTCCTAAACAGAATCATAGAGATTTAGATTCAAAGGGACCTTAGAGATTATCTGGATCAGAGATTGTCAGCTTTTTTCTTTTTAAAGCAGCAAGACCCTTTTCTCAAATGAAATGTTATATGGAAATGTACTATATAGATTAATAAAAGCACAGCTGATTGCTAAGCCCAGGAATCTAAGCCCTATGGGTCTCCCTTTGTTGTCTGGGGCATTCCCCTGAGGGGCAATCCCCAGAGTTCTTTTAAAAGATGTCACCTATCCAAATGCCATATGACTTCGCTCATATTTGGAATTTAAGAAACAAAATAAGGAAAAAATGGAAAAAAAAGAGACACAAACAAAAATCAGACTCTTAAATACAGGGAACAAACTGGTGGTTGCCAGAGGGGAGGTGGGTGTGGGGGTGGGTAAAATAGATAAAGGGGATTAAGAGCACACTTGTCTTGATGAATGCTGAGTAATATATAGAATTTTTGAATCCTTATGTTCTATACCTGAAACTAATATAACTATATGTTAATTATACTTCAATAAAAAAAGAAAAGAGGAAAAAAAAAACTACCTTCCTTTTCAGTGGGAAAAAAAAAGATGTCACTTATCAATAGTTGGAAGCTCTTTGAGAAGTCCTTAAAATATAAGTCTGTGTAAAATTATTCTTTCTTAGAAGGAGAACAAAACCCCACCCTATTTTATCCAGGTAATAGTTATAATTTTCAAGCACAAGTGTTCCATAGTATAATTTTCATTCACAAGTGTTGCCTAGTACTCTGTGCTGTTTGGTTAGCCTGATGTTTTTATGCTAATGGTGAGACATTAGACACTTGTATAAGATTTGAAGAGTCTTAAGGTAATATTCAAAGGCAGTGTTAGGGTACTATAGAGATACATAGCAGGGACAGCAAATCTAGACATTAGTGGTCCAAGAAGGCTTCATGGAAGAAGTGACTTCTAAGCTGAGGCCTGAGGGAGAAAGAGAAGGTAGCTGTGGAGAAGTAGAGGGAACAGTGGGTGGAGTGTTCCATATAGAAGAAACAGCATTTACAAAAGTCCTGAATCAAAAAGTAGAATGTCACATTTCAGTCATTGCCAGTTCATAAGAACGGGTTATTAGAATGTGGGCTGGAGGGATGGGGTGAATTTCCTATGGGTGAGGAGTGGACCTGAGAGATGAAACTGAAGTGACAAGGAAGGCCAAGACACAAAGGGCTTGTAAACCATATTAAAGAGTTTGTTTATCCAAAGTGTTCTAGAAACCCATTGAAAGGTTTTAAGCAGGAATCACATGATCAGATTTGGGTGTTAGAAGTACTACCCTGGCAGTCCTGTGGAGACTGACTGAGAGAAGAACAAGACTAGAGGTGAGGGGTTAGGAGGCTGTTTAGTCTAAAGATTAGAAAACGTACAGAATAGAGGATATAGCTTGGCATAGTAGAAAGAATATGGGCTTTGGTGTAGCTTTGGACAAATGAACCAACCTCTTTAAATACTTCTTTGAACACACATTAGTTGCTCAAATTGTAGCTATCATTATTACTGAGATGACTGTTTCTAGTATTTAAAGAGCTATTATATTAAAAAAAAAAGACTGGGGCACCTGGCTGGCTTAGTTGATGGAGCATGCAACTCTTGATCTTGGGATTGTGGGTTTGAGCCCCACATTTGATGTAGAGTTTATTTAAAAATAAAATCTTTAGGGACGCCTGGGTGGCTAAGTTGTTAAGCATCTGCCTTTGGCTCAGGTCATGATCCTGGGGTCCCGGGATCGAGCCCCGCATCGGGCTCCCTGCTCAGCGGGAAGCCTGCTTCTTCCACTCCCACTCCCCCTGCTTGTGTTCCCTCTCTTGCTGTCTCTCTCTCTGTCAAATAAATAAATAAAATCTTGAAAAAAATTTAAAAAAAATCTTTAAAGGTGTGCCTGGGTGGCTTAGTCAGTTAAGTGTCTGACTCTTGATTTTGGCTTAGGATGTGGTCTCAGGGTTATGATATCAAGTCCCAAGATGGGCTCACGCGCTCAGCGGGGAGTCTGCTTAGGATTCTCTCTCTCCCTCTCCCTCTGCCCCTCCCCTGCCTCTCTCTCTAAAAAAAAATTAATAATAATAAATAAATAAAAATAAAATCTTTAAAAAAAATTAAAGATTCGATTTGTTCTGTGTAGTTCTCGTAGGTTGAACCAGGGGCAGGGTATTTCAGTATTTCAGCAGGTTTCAGCTTAATACAAAGAAAAGTTCACCAGCAAGTAATTTTAGAAAAAAAATGGGATGAGTTCAACAGGTAGATTTGTAAAAAATAGGATGGGTTATCTTATGAATTAGTGAATGCATCACTGTTTTGTTTATATCCATATGCTTCTTGGGCTACTTTTCTTCTGCTTCAAGTTTAAGTGTTCTTTGGAGTTCATTCTTCAAGTGACTGTTCTCATTCTACATACTCTCTTCTTGAGTAATCTCTGGGACGTCCTTGTTGATGAAGAGTAATTGGTACTAGAAAAAGGCCACTTCAAGTGAAGCTGCTTAAGGCATGAAATAAAATTTCATAGGAAACAATGAAAAATATTTTGATGGGTCTTTGCATTGAGTAATGAAACTAAACATTATGGAAATAGTTTAATTTATCTTGTATTTAACAAATTTAGGCTATAAGTACAACTTTTTTTTTTTAAAGGTTTTATTTATTTATTTGACAGAGAGACACAGCGAGAGAAGGAACACAAGCAGGGGGAGTGGGAGTGAGAGAAGCAGGCTTCCCGCGGAGCAGGTAGCCTGATGCGGGGCTCCATCCCAGGACCCCGGGATCATGACCTGAGCCGAAGGCAGATGCTTAACCACTGAGCCACCCAGGCGCCCCTATAAGTACAACTTTATATAAATTCTTGAAAAACTAGGATTCAACTATTTAGTTGTTTATTGCAATATAATTTTCCCATCATTTTTTCCATAACATGACATCCTTCACTTCATGATCATAAAGATCACTTTTTGCAAAAATATTTAAAGATTTCATTGTATTCTGAAAGATAACTCTTAACCTTAGATATTCAAATTATCCTCTTTTGAAGTGCCTATCTTATTACTGGTCTTACTGAGGCAGATCCTTCTTTTCCAAAGGTTGAGGCATGAATCAAATAGATGAGCAAATCTACTCTTATTGCTAACATAAAATTCTGCCCTTGTTGGGGAAGATTTTCTTCTTTTACAGTCTCTCGCCCTGGATTACTGTGCTATTTGCAAAAAATAAAGCAGGTGAATGAGATATTCTTGAATGGCTGAAAAATCTTGAGTGAATTACTATGACTATTTCCTCACTTTTAACCTATTCACTAGTCATTTCTGTTACTTTTAACACCAGTCCATTTAGTTCAGACCCTTGTTATCTCTTGCCTGCACCACTGTAATGACTTTCTAACTGGGGTCTTCCTGTCTTCAGCTTTGTTTTTGTCTTTAGTGGGCTGTCTCCTACATCTGGGTGTATTATATTTCCTTCTTTCCTTCCTCCCTTCCTTCCTTCCTTTCTCTTTTTCTCTCTTTCTTTCAAGATTTTATTTATTCATTTGAGAAAGAGACAGAGAGAGTACAAGCAGCGGGAGAGGCAGAGGGAGAGGGAGAAACAGGCTCACCACTGAGCAGGGAGCCCGATGCAGGACTCAATCCCAGGACTCTGGGATCATGACCTGAGCCGAAGGCAGCCCCTAACCAGCTGAGCCACCCAGGTGCCCTATATTATATACTTTCAAACGTTTCACTGGCTTCCCAAGAGTGGAAAATCAGTAGTAGTTCCCTAAGTTCTATAGGAATATCACTAAAAAAAAGTATTTTATGTTTAATAAGTTTGGGAAATGTCTGGTTAAGAACTACTGTTAATTATGATACTATTTTGACAGCATAATTCAAGTGACATGTGCATTTATAGGTGTTAATTGCCAGTTAACCTGTTATTGGGAACTCAATTTTATATCAAAATATAAGATAGAAAAACTCTTTTGAGAGTGGGCATATTTATCTCATATTCAGATATAAATTTTCCCATTCTAATTAGATTATGTTATCAATTTCAAAATAAATAATAAAAAATGTCTTTTTTGTAGAAAATTTAGAAAATATGGGTAAAAAGAAAAAAAAGGAAATGAAAGTTGCTCTTTTACCACTATCCAGGGATAACTGAATGCTCTTGTCCATTGCTGTAGATATTATCATGTCTCTATACATGTATTGTTTACTTATGTATTTATTAAATAAATATTTATTTAGCACGTATGTGTCAGGCTATTCTAGGTGTTGGGATGCAGCAATAAATAAAACAAGAAAAGTCTCTGCTCCCATGAAGCTTATATTCTAATGAAGAGAGTTAATTAAAAAAAGCAGTCAAGCCAACAAGTAAATACATGGCCATCTATCAAGAAGTAATAAGTGCTACTAGTGAAAAATAAAGCAGGTCAATGCAATAATTTTGAATGACTGTATATATTAAAAATATTTTGAGACTGGGGCGCCTGGGTAGCTCAGTCATTAAGCGTCTGCCTTCAGCTCAGGTCATGATCCCAGGGTGCTGGGATCAAGCCCTGCATCGGGCTCCCTGCTCCGCGGGAAGCCTGCTTCTCCCTCTCTCACTCCCTCTGCTTGTGTTCCCTCTCTCGCTGTGTCTCTCTCTGTCAAATAAATAAATAAAATCTTAAAAAAAATTTTTTTTGAGACTGATCAAAAATTTAAGATCTTATTTCAGATGATAAAGAGATCTATGTATTTGGTTTTGGGGAAAAGTTCTTTATTGTATATGTTTATGGAAGAATGTTTTCTTTGACATTCTAAACTCTATCCAAAATTAAATTGAGCATATGTAGTAAGTATCATTTGAATAACTACTAATCTTTGTTTTGAAACAAGTCAGTTGTGTGTTCTATTTTAGACTAAACAGTATATTAGTTACAGATCATTAAGCTTAACATTAAGCAGTCAATTGACGATTACAGAATGTAGATATTGTTTCATAATGATGCAATCATGCTGGATTAATTTAATTTTAAAAGTGAAACCAGATATCTTGATTACACTTATTCATTGTGTGTGTATTTTATCTATCTATCTCAGACTACAAATTCTTTGCGTGTAAGACTCTTTCCATTTATGAATGTCCATCAAAGACATTATATATACATTTATCTGATGGAGTGATAACCAAGCAAACCAACAATTTAAAAAGCTAAAAGTCTGAAATTTATGAAAATGATGATAACAGTAGCTACTTTATATTGAGTGCTATCTAATGAGAAACACCATTGCTGTGTTTATTTTGCCCAATCAAGTCTAATTCTTTTCACAAATACTTTAAATAAATATAAGGAGAAATTGAATGGATCAGAGGAGTGAAAATGATCAAAATAATGGAAATCAAATCCGATATTTAGACATTTAGGCTGTCCATCCAGAGGAAGGGAAAACTAGGCATGATTTGAATACATGGGTGGTTTTCTGATCTTGACAGACTGAGCAAAAAAAAAAAATTAGAATTATGTTAATGCAGAAAGGATTTTGACCATTTCATAACAATATTACCATAAACTCAGTGGCTTAAGCAATATACTTTTATTATCTCACAGTTTCTGTGGAACAGCAGTTGTACATGAATGAGCTAATTGACTTAGCCTCAGTCAGGACTGGGTTCTCATCTGGAGTCTTGACTGACGAAGAATCTACCTTCGTATTCCCATGGTTGTTGGCAACATTCAGTTCTTTGCTATTAAAAGACTGAAAGCTTTAGTTTGGGGCTGGTTGTCTGCCAGAGGCCGTCTGTAGCTCCTTGCCATGTACAGGTCACCAAATTGGTTGCTTACTTCCTTAAAGCCAGCAAGGGAAAGGCTCTAGTAAGAAAGATGTTACAATATTATGTAACATAATTATGTACTCATATATGTAATCGTGTATATCCCTTTATCTTTGTTGTATTCTCTTGGTTAGAAGCAAGATACAGGTCCCACCCACACTAAAGGGGAAGAGATCACATGAAGTGTAAACATCAGGAGGTCATGGGGGGCCACCTTAAGAGTCTGTCTGGAATAAGGGAATACTTACTGGCTGTCTAGAAGTTATACTATTGGGAAATAAGAAGTAATATGTCTCTGCCTCTCTTGGCCTTTAGGAATAAAAATACTCAATTTATATGAGCTTCAAAAATATTTTACTGGTATCTGTCATAGTCATTTCTATCTCTTATTTCTTAAAATTTATAACTTTTACCAAAGTAATTTTTAAAGGGTAAACACTAAAGAAATTAGAAAAATAATAGAGAATACTGCCAGTTTCTGTCAATTATATTATAAAAATTAAAATGATTCTTCCTCACTAAATTTTTAATAAGTAGAGGTTAGAAAGATCATACAGATATGAAAGTAAGGTATGCAGAGGAATTATACTCATTCAAGTTTATTAAATAAAGATGAATATAAATGAGACAAGTGTTTACAAATGCCGTAGTACTAAAAGGTTTTCTCTGTACTGAAGGACCAACTGTTAGAAAACAAAGGATTAAACTGCAATCTAGAGTAAAATGTGGTTTAAAGGAATTCCTGCTGTAATCATAATCTTTCAACTCTCATTGTAGCACCATTTACCTCTGGGTTTTAGAAGAGTAAAAACTTAATTCACAGCCTTTTAGAATTGAGATTTCTAGAGCAGTAGAATTGCTCTAATTGAGATAGTTTAATAAAAGATCTTACTTTAAAATAAATGCTCAGAGGCATTTTAGGAATAGGATTTTGGGGGTACCTGGCTGGCTCAGTTGTTATATATAGCATGTGACTCTTGCTATAACAAGAGGTGGTGAGTTCAAGCCCCATGATGGGCATAGAGCTTACTTAAAAAAAAAGTAACAGATTTTTGCAATATTGATGTTTTTCATCAGAGCTGTCTTAGGGTGTATAGAAAGTTAATGCTCTTGTTTTTAAAAAAGCTTTATGAAGTACATATTCTATATTTAAAAATATTATGACATAATTGGTCATTGGAGTAATATGAAATGATTATTTAAAAAATATTTTGGGCGCCTGGGTGGCTCAGTCGTTAAGCGTCTGCCTTCGGCTCAGGTCATGATCCCAGAGTCCTGAGATCAAGCCCCGCATCAGGCTCCCTGCTCAGCGGGAAGCCTGCTTCTCCCTCTCCCACTCCCACTGCTTGTGTTCCTGCTCTTGCTATCTCTGTCTCGGTCAAATAAATAAAATCTTTAAAATATATGTATATTTTTTCATTAAATAATTCGTTAGGCTTATTTTTTGTTATGAGTAGCTGAATGTTATTAATGTTTAATTTGTCTCAGATAAAATGACTATTTTGAATACTTTAAAGAGTTTAATTTCCTTACTACTACATTTCCTCCTCCCCTCTCTTCACTGAAAAATCTTAATACTTTAGGCAATTTATGAGGAGCATGTCTATATGAAAGATTTAAAAATAAGTAAGCTTAATTGGTGAACTTATCTGAACTAGTTAATTATTTTTATTGTAGACCTCATAAGAAGTGGCAAACCGTGGTGGCTGAATGACACGTCTGCTTTTCCTTCTTCACTACCAATTAATGGCACGCATATCCGCCACAGACAGAAGAGATCAGTAAGCATCGAGCGGTTTGTGGAGACACTGGTAGTGGCAGACAAAATGATGGTGGGCTACCATGGCCGCAAAGACATTGAACATTACATTTTGAGTGTGATGAATATTGTAAGTTTGATGCCTCTCTATAACATTTTAACTTAATAATTTGTGGTTTTGACTAAGGTCATGGATTTTTAGTGTGAATTAATGATTTTAAGAATTTACTCATCTAAAATGAGAAAGAATTAATATATTAATGTTTCAGTTCCATAGGAAATAAATTTAAAGGTGACCTTACTGTTCATTTTAGGTAATATGACTTTTTGAATGGGTCGTATTAAATCTTGTTTAAAAGGTTTTCTTTAACTTGAAACATCGGCTCACCCTCTTAATTACTATGTTGTAGCTCAGTTTTAGGAGAAAATATTTCTTGAGGTAGATTTGTATAAAAATCTTTTATGGAGGCATCTTGAGGGTAGAATTCTAAGTGATATGAGATAAAATAATATCTTTTTATATACAAAGTGGTTTAATTTATGAAAAATTGTTTTACCATTCTTTAAAAAAATATTAAACAGTCAGCCTATGATTTTTGTCTGACTTTGTGTCTTTTCTTATTTTCTGGAGGTCAGGTTGCCAAACTTTACCGTGATTCCAGCCTAGGAAACGTTGTGAATATTATAGTGGCCCGCTTAATTGTTCTTACAGAAGATCAGGTAAGAATGAGTTAGTTTAGAAAACTAAAACCCTTAACAGACAGGCTGTAGAATTATGTATTATAAAATAAAGTATTTTATTATTGATCCTTTTAGGAAGTTCTAGTTGAATATGATTTTCACCACTAAGTATTTAATATTTTAAGCAAATTTTAAGTACTTTATAAGAATATACCTCCTATTCATGTTAAGGCTCTATATATGTATATTAGCTATATGTTTCAGTATAAAGATGAGCATTTGTTTGGCAGATCTAATAATAGTGGTTTTGGTTGCTGAGAATCACATATATTCACATGATCATTAAAGCTGGAACTGGAAAGAATATTCAGTAGTACACTAAATTAACTCTAGGTCAGATATTACAGAGATAAAAATTGGCAAGAGATTATTCCTAGAAACCACTGCTTCTAATTATAGTCCCACTTTAGTTCTTCAAAAGTTTTAACAACTGACCTTAGTAATTTGTTTGGAACATTTCTGGTATGCATGTTGTATTGCAGCCAAACTTGGAGATAAACCACCATGCAGACAAGTCCCTCGATAGCTTCTGTAAATGGCAGAAATCCATTCTCTCTCACCAAAGTGATGGAAACACCATTCCAGAAAATGGGATTGCCCACCACGATAATGCTGTTCTTATTACTAGGTATGGTTTGTTGCAAATATTTTATCTTTGATTGTTGTGTTTAATATTTTAACTATATTTTGTTCTATCTAAAATCTCATTCAGGTAATGAATATATTGAAAGCAAATGGTAATTTGTTAATCACCAGTGAGAAGGAATATATTACACTATTATTGTGTTTGCATCAAATGAACCGAGTAAGAAAAAAGAACATATTTAGAGTTGACTTAGAAATGTAATAAACATCTTTCCTTCAACTAATATCTATTCATAAGGTTTAATTGGAAGCACATGTATGTTTTGTTAATTGAACAAAATACATAATAAAACAAAGATTAAAAAGTATGGGATTATAATTGAGTCATCACTCTTGGTTATAAAATACATTAATTATTCTTACCTCCAAATTGTTAAAAGGGAGGACATCAATAGTTACACAATTTACTTAGATGAATGTTTATTTAATTAAAAATGTTTTAATTAAGGTATAAATATAAAGAAGCACATTTATTACATTATATGTTGAGTAGCTTGCTTCTCAGGGTAAAATTATTATTTGATGATAATGCAATTAGTTCATGTATTTCTTTCCGGTTTTACATAACTTGTTCAGATCCTTTTATTCCTTACTCTCCAACAAGAATTCTGTGAAGTAGATACCATTATTACTTTTCCCATCTAAAAAGTGAGGAAACTAGTTTAAAATACTTAAATCGCTCAAGCAAGTGAAAGTGCAGGTCTCAAACCCTGATGATCCTGTCTTCTATGACTGTGCTATCTTAGACTACTGTCTTAGTTTTTTTATACCTTAATTATGACTGGTTAGAAGCATGCTTAAATCATTTTAAGATGAACTTGTATTTAAAAATGAAAAAAAACAATAAGCAAAATGGAAGCATTATTCTATCTTGGTGAAATGAAATAGCCTTTGTTGTCTTGATTATTTCTTTTAATTTGCAAGATAGTACTTAACAATGGTGTGCCCATTGACTCTACATTAAACTACATGGCGGGAATGTAAAGTTACGTGGCATCATAATCTTGAGATCCTGGAAGATAATGTGAATTTAGCTTTTTAAAAAATGTTCCTGTTAACTAAGTTGTAGAGTTAAAGCTTCTCGGTTTATTTATTTATTTTTTCAGTTATAATTACTTTAATTGACTTCATCTACCTGGCACTGTAAGCTAGAAAAGTTTGTTTATGACATACTTGCAAATAAAAACAACATTGTATGGGTTCTGTATTCATATGTGTTGACATGTCAGTCTGATAAATTCTGCAATTCCTCAGAGTCTTGTGGTCTGGAATGATTCCCAAATATATTTGAGGAGTTAAAAATACACTGAGAATTGTGCAAATATAGAAACCTTTGTATAAAAATATATATATGGATATGATTAGTGTCAATGAAATTACTACAGGAGAATGTTTTTTATATATGGTTAGCAAAATGATCACAGATAATTTACATTGGCTTCTGTGTTTATATTTATAAAGTCCAACTCTCCCCAAAAAGGCAATGCCCACTGGGCTCTTGGTGCTTTATATTTTTGTTATTGTATGTGCATTCAATTTTTAGCTTTTGCATCAAATGACAATAGCTATACCAACAGTGCGCGTTTATAAGTATTTGAGTCGTGAAATATATCTGGGCAGTTAGCCATCTTTTCTTTGCACTGGCTACAATATTCAGCTGTCTTGTTCCTCTGAATTGGCCCAGATATTTTTCTGATCCTCTGCAGAGTCCTTCCTTGTTTCTATAAGCTATTTTGAGTGCCTTTTTGATGCCTGAGGTTTGAACATAAAATTTTCTTTTTAAACTTGTCTCCTAATGGTCGGACTAGTACTAGAAATGATCTCAGGATTTAATAGGACAGTACTTTGAAGAGTTCATATATCATACCATTTTCAATTAGTTATATAGTGGAGGCTAGAAAAGTATCTCTTTCGGGCAGCATAGAGTGCCTTTTTGAATTGTTATAGTCTCAAAGTAACTTTGAGCTTATTTAAACGTCTACTTATTTAAAAGTCTAATCGTCTTTGAATTATTAAGGCCATGGAGTGACATCTAAATCTGATGAATGTCATCTCTAATATTTAGAGTTTTTGTTGGGTGGTTTACCATCTTGATTCTTCCTTATATACTTTTAATTTGTGAAATTGAATATATCTTTAAATCATACTGCTACTTTTAGTAAAAATTCAAAGAATTTTTATAGATGCTCATATATTAACGCTTTTCATTGCTTCATGTAACTCACTCATTAACATATTCAGGATTATGACTTCACCATTTATAGGTAAGTTCATGCTTGAAATGTCAGCTCACTAGGGAGAATGTATAATGTGTTTACTGAGAATTCCAGAGAAAAATTGATGGATATGTTTATCTCCACTAGGCCAAATTTTATCTCAGGGATTTAAATGTTTTAAGCAGAAAACCATTTGGAACTGTAGTTACTTAGGTAATAATAGTTGCTTTTGAAAAAATGAAAGTATAAAAACTTAAAATACTATCTCCTCTTAGCAAATAATATTTTATTTTTTTATATTGATATAAATTTAAAGCAAACTGTGCTCTACAAAGCTATGAGATCACTGTGACTAGACAGAAATAAATAAGCAGTATAAAAAATTTAAAATTCTGGGGGCGCCTGGGTGGCTTAGTCAGTTGAGCATCTGACTTGATTTTGGCTCTGATCATGATCTCAGGGTCGTGAGATTGAGCCCCGTGTGGGGCTCCACGCTGAATGAGGAGTCTGCTTAAGAGTCTCTCTCCTTCTCCCTCTGCCCTGGTCCACTCGTACACTCCATACACTCTGTCTCTAAAAAAAAAGTTAATTAATTAAAAAAAATTTTTAAATTTTATTTTGTCTGGTATAAAAACTACTGCATTAACACCAAAGAGTATATTAAAAACTATTTATATACACACATATATTTTAATTTTTATATACATTTATTTTTATACATAAGTGTTTGTGTATGTGTATATAATGAACATCTGTTATATACCAGCTAGCTTTATCAAATCTTTTTTTAAACATTGAAGTATAATTGACAAAGTTGTATATACTTTAAGTGTACAATGTGATGACTTAGTGTGCCTAGATGTTCATATATCTCCCCAGATTTTGAAAGTTCTCAACCATTATTTCCTTAAATAAGCTTTTTGCCCCTTTCTCTCTCTCTTCTTCTTGGACTCCCATGATGCTAATATTACTTCATTTGGTGATGTTCCATAATTTAGGTAGGCTTTCTTCATTGTTTTGTTTGTTTTTTCTTTTAGTGGGTAGTATCAAATGATTTGTTTCCAAGTTCATGGTTTCTTTCTTTTGCTTGGTATGTCTGTTGTTGTTCTCTATTGCATTTTTTAATTTCATTCATTTTATTCTTCAGCTTCAGAATTTCTAATGGTTCTTTTATATAATTTTGATCTCCCTTTTGAATTTATTATTTTATTCACATATTCTTTTCCTGATATCATTGAGTTGTGGATCTGGGTTCTTTTGTAGCTTGCCGAACTTTTTAGGAACAATTATTTTGAATTATTTGTCTGTCAATTTGTAGATTTCCATTCTTTGCACTCAGTTACTGGAAAATCATTGTATTCCTTTGGTGGTGTCATGTTTTCTTGATTTTTCATCTTTCTGTAGCTTTGTGTTGATGTCTGTGCATTTGATGAAATAGTCACCCCTTCCAGATTTTATGGAATGGTTTTGGTAGAGAAAGGTCTTCATCTGTGGACATAAGAGTGCTGGCTGGGTTGAGTATGGTGTTTCTAGCTCTGGAAAAGTTCCATTAATGTAGTCTCTATTCACCTTTGTCAGCTGAGATTAGCCTTAGTGAAGATTTCAGAGTTCCTCAATGGTCAAGGCTGCATTTGTCTGCACCAGCAGTAAAGGCAGTTGGGGACCACCCGATCTCTTTTACTTTCATGGGGGATGTCATGATGGAGGGGATTTCTCTTGAAGCAGGGTCCAGCTTGCAAGTACCCACATGAGTGTTGGTAGTACTGATGTCTGATATGTGGGGACATTTGGTAATATGACACTATATAAGTAGGTCAAGAACTGATTAATATTTTGTATTCAAAACTCTAATAAACAGAATTTAAGAAGATAAAATAGAACTGTATATATACACTTAAAAAGTTACACACGTTGGGGCACCTGAGTGGCTCAGTTGGTTAAGCATTTGCCTTCTCGGGGAAGGCATCGAGCCCCATGTCTGGCTCTCTGTTCAGCAGGGAGTTTGCTTCTCCTTCTCCCTCTGCCTGCTATTGCCCCTGCTTGTGCTCTCTCCCTCTCTCTCTGTCAAATAAATAAATAAAATCTTTTAAAAAAAAGTTACGCATGTTACAAAACTTTCATATTATTCTAATTAAACTTTGTATTGAGAAACTGTAAATTAATGGGTACTTAGAAATACATATCTACAATTTGACAGATTTAAAAATTATTTATATTCCCACATGAAGTTAGGAAGTATTCACCAAATTTAAAGTCAAGACAATTTCTTTTTTCTTTTTTTTAAATATCTTTAAGATTTTATTTATTTATTTATAAGATTTTATTTATTTATTTGACAGAGAGAGAGACAGTGAGAGAGGGAACACAAGCAGGGGGAGTGGGAGAGGGAGAAGCAGGCTTCCCGCGGAGCAGGGAGCCCGATGCGGGGCTCGATCCCAGGACCCTGGGATCATGACCTGAGCCGAAGGCAGACACTTAATGACTGAGCCACCCAGGCGCCCAAGATTTTATTTATTTATTTGAGAGAGAGAGATAGTGAGAGAGAGCGGGAGCAGGGGGGGAGAGGGAGAAGCAGGCTCCCCGCTGAGCAGGGAGCCCGATGCGGGGCTCAATCCCAAAACCTTGGGACCATGACCCTAGCTGAAGGCAGATACCCAACCAACTGAGCCACTCAGGTGCCCCAAGTCAAGACAATTTCTAAATTTATTTTGTGGCAAAAGCATTCAAGAAATCTTTTTATAGTATGAAAATCAGTAGGCATTTAGTG